ATTTTCTTTATTATATGATCTGGGAATTGTGCTCTTAATTTGATGATTTGGGCAAGTAATTTTGCAAAGGCAACATTTCTACTTGAAAGTAGACTAACATGTGACCATCGTGTAGAGGCATCAATTAAAACCATGAAATATCGAAATGGTCCACATGCTGGATTAATTTGCCCACATATGTCTCCCTGAATTCTTTCCAAGAATTTTGGAGATTCAGTAGCAATTTTGTTCATAGATGGACTTATTATTAATTTGCCAAGTGAGCATGCAGAGCATGTTAATTCATCTGATCGGGGAATTTTGACATTTCTTATTGAATGTCCAACTGAATGTGCTATTATTCTTTGCATCATCCCAGTTGCTGGATGTCCCAAACGATCATGCCATAAAATAGTCAAATGTTTGTCATCTAACTTCTGGTTAGATACCATATTGATTTCCACGGGTCGTATGTTTATACGATATAACCCCGAAGAGTATGCTGGCAATTTCTCATATATATGTTTCTTGCCATGTTTTTCTGCCGTGAGGCATATATACTCTTTTTGATCTGTTGTCATTGTTTCTAGATGATAGCCATTTTGGCGTACATCTTTAAAGCTTATGAGATTTCTTCGAGATTTACTCGAATATAAAGCATTATTGATTATTAATTTTGTTCCATTTGGAAGCATTATACAAGCCTTTCCAGATCCTTCAATTAATTTAGCTGACCCGGAAATGGTGTTTACATTTGCTTGAAACAACTTTAGTTGTGAAAAATAATTTCTATCTTTTAAGATAGTGTGCGTTGTTCCACTGTCCAAAAGGCATTGATATTCGGAACTAACTTCAGGTAGATCCATATCTTCATAAAATAAATTTGAGATTAGTTTAGAATAATATCATACAAACTTTTATTGATGATAGAGATTAAAAGTACATTAAAATACAGGGAACTAAGAAAATAAATTAAAACATAGCATATGTTACATTAGTAGATGAGAAACCTAAGTATTATTGTTTTCTCCAAGAATGAAATCATTTCCAATTTCAGCATTATCCATGAAATAATTAGACACATCAAGGCTGGGACAAGGAGCATTTTCCTCATTAACATAATTTGCTTCTGCATTTTTCTCTTTGCCTTTTACAGAAGCCTGGTAGAGGTCTACCAAATGTTTGGCCGTTCGACAAGTACGTCCCCAATGTCCTGTCATGCCACATCTGTAACATGTGTCTTTTCCTTTCGAAGGAGTTTGTTTGTGGCTTCCAGATAACTGTCCCTTATGTTTTTCAAAATTTTTGAAATTACTGTTTCTTTGAAAATTATTTCTACCACGACCACGGCCGCGTCCGCGATAATTCCCACGGCCTCTTCCACGGCCATTGTAATTTCCACGTCCACCTCTTCTTGTAGCATTTGACTCGGGTGGATAGGAATTTGTTGCATTTGCCTCATGATGAGTGGCCAAAGACCCAGTTGGTCTGAGATTATGATTTTTCAACAAAAGATCGCTATTTTGTTCCGCAACAAGCAATACACTCATTAATTCATTAAACTTCTTAAAACCTCTTTCACGATATTGTTCTTGCAACAGTATGTTGCTTGCATGAAAGGTAGTGAGTGTTTTTTCAATCATTTGTTCATCGGTGACTGGATGATCACAGTATCTCAATATAGATACTATCTCATGTATGGTTGAATTATAATCTATTATAGATTTGAAATCCTGGAACCGTAAATTTGTCCAGTCAAATAATGCCTTAGGAAGGAGCACCCTTTTGTGGTGTCCAAATCTTTCATTAAGGCAGTCCCATAATTCTTTGGGATCTTCAACCATCATGTACTCAGTTTTAAGGCCTTCATGTAAATGATGCCTTAGTAACACTAAGGCTTTTGCCTTTTCTTGTTCGGTAATGGGTTTTTCAACCGTCATTGCAGAAGTAGTAGTATCAGTTGTTTGACCAGGGGGACTTTTATTTTCATTAACAGTGTGCTCCAAGCCTTGAGCTTTCAAATTCATCATTGCGTCCACTTTCCATTCCAGAAATTTCTTTCCAGATAAATCTAAGATGCTGAACTGTCTTTTCATAAGGTCTCCCATTTTAGCTACAACAAATTTCGTGATAATTAGATTATAATAACAAATTATATGTACAACTCACATGTTTAGTTCTTCCATATTTATATTTAAGTTAATAAGGCACGTGATAATTAAATTTAATAATAATAAACCATAAGTAATATAGTCTTTTCTCCCCCTTGGTTTATTATTGTGAGTAATTATATGATTAGACAAAAATTAATCATGTTAGTTGCAAAAAAAAACAGCAAAACGACAACAATGACAGTAGTAACAATAATTATAATGATAACGGTAATATTATACAATGATGATTAATAACAACAAACATACATAATAAAACAAAAACAAGCTTTTAATATACTAAAACGACAAAATAAGTGAGTTTTACTTATACATAATGACAAAAATTAATATTGCTACTAATAAAATTACAAGCGCCGTAATTAGAAGGAAATATTGTTTTATCTTCATTAAATCTTCCTCAAAAGTGAAGTTGTGGGTGTTTTGGTTGCCGTCGTCGGGGAACATATCGGAGAAGAAGGGGGTGAAAAAAAAATTTTTTTTTAGGTGATTTTTGGATAATAAGTGGGAAGAGAAAGGATTTGTGGTGAAATTGGGGGAAAAATCCGTCTTTTATAGAGGTAGGTTTATCCGTTACTGTTCTGTACAACTGAAAAAATATCATATAACAATCTAATATACTGACAAAAATTATGGTCTAAATATATATATTTATAATTGTAAAAGGTTATCACATTGGGAATGCAAGCCATAGTGGTCCGAGAGCCCTAATATCTATAAAAGATCATGAGTTCGAAAAACGGAAAGAAACACAAAAAGTATGTAAAAGTAAGAAAAATAATAAGTATAAAAAGGCTGCATCTTTTTGTTAATCTAGTTAATAATAATATGCATGCAAAGCTACTACTTAGCAATTATAATAACTAAGATACAAATTTACGTAAAATGAGTATGTAATATCAACATGAATCAAACAAAGAAACATCAACATGAATAAAACAAAAGAGAACTTTCACCGTTGTTTTTGAGGTATATATAATACAGTAAATGTTTGAGTTTCTGGTATAGAGGATCCCAAATATGGGCAACTATAGAGCATACTCCTCGAAACATTTAGAAGTAGATAGTATTATTTGTTATAAATTTTTAGAAGTAGGTATAAATATACCTGACTGAAAACTGGTGCTGATAACGTGTTAAAAATATTTTACTGATGGTAAGATATTTATCAGTGAAGGGATGAAGATAGGAAGTAAGTAGTAGAATGGTAGGAAAACTCTTTTCTTGTTTTTCAACTTAAGTTCACAATACGTGAACTTTCATTTATATAGCCAAAATAATTGAATACAATAATATACATTATTGTACTTTATACAAATTATTGTACTTAGTAAAGTCTTCATTGACTTTAATTACCACATGTGAAGTTCAATTCAATCATGTTTCTCAACAGAAACACGTTTTAATTGAAACAAGTTAAACTAGATACAATTAGTAAGCTTACAAATTTGAATACCATGTGAACTAAATTAATAATATTATTAATAAATTGGTAAACACATTAAACATAAAACATATTGGCCTTTATCTCTTCGTCACTATATAAAGTGAATGGGGATTTGGGACAAAACATAATGGCTTAAATTCATTCATAATCTACTGCCCATTACTCACAACTACATCTGACCCAAATATTATATGGAGGGACATACTGGGCTTCACCATAAGTGAAGTCAGACCCGCATAATTACAAACATAACCTACTGCCCATGCCCATTACTCACAACATAGCTCAGGAGAATTTGAGGTCATAGTGGTAAAACAAAGTAATATCAATACATCAATTGAAAAAAAAAAGGATACTTAAAAGGGGGTAATTGCATTTATGATAATGACAAACCAATTCTTTTTATTCATTTATATTTTGCGCCTATTTTTAATTTTTGACAGTATAATTAACGTATGTAATGAATGCAATAACAACTGTTAATGACTAATGGATAAGTAATATGATATTGGGTTACTGTGAAATTTTTTAATTACTTAAGTTTATATTATTATTATACAATTGGTTTAAATAAAATCAGCTAACATGCTCTCTCTCTAAACTTCTCGCTCTTTATTTTCTCTCTCTTAGTTGCATTTATTATTGATATTAAAACAAAGTAATATCAATACATCAATTTAAAAAATAAAAGAAATTGAATAATTAAAAGGGGTAGTTGCATTTATGAGACATGGGGTAGCTGAGGATATAAGTCATATAACAGCAAAATTGACGTAACGCCTGAAATTGCAGCAAATACACGTAGACGTGCGTGTGTGGCAAAGATGCCGAGTCACAATAAATGCTATTACCAAATTGTCCCAAGTTTAATGATGGAAAAGACGGTGTTACCCTGTTGATTGACAAAACAAGTTGATAAAAAAGATCAACTTGTATTTTGCGGTATAAGTGGCCAAGTGGGCTTTGTAGGAGAGAAATAATTAAATATTTATGCAAGTGGGGCAAGTGGGAGAGAAATAATAAAATAGTATTGGGTCCTTACTAGAAGAAGAAGTGTTGCAACTATTATGAAATGAATGTAAAAGAAAAGTGTTGCAATTATTACAAAATGGAAGGAATACTATATTATTATTTTACCTAAAACTATGTACCCAAGGGTATGAGGCACTTAAAAAAACGGAGGGAGTTTAAAGCATAAATGTAAATATTTTTATATACATTCGAGTGCATAGTACACTTAAAAGTAAATTTACTCATTTTGATCATTAATCATGAGTAATCACAACTATCAAATGACAAAAACTAACATTAACAACACCTTACACTCGAAATATATATAAAAAATTTCAAACTTAAGGATAGTTATTACTCCCTCCATTTTTTTTAAGTGCCTCATTTGGAATTTTAGCACTATTCATTAGACTTACTTTGACATATATATCATGTCACTATGAGGCACTTAAAAAAACAAAAAAAAAAACAAACAAAGGGAGTACTATGTAGGACTCACTTGTTCTTATGTAGCCCACAAGTAACTTCTATACATCAATTAGCATATTACTCAGTCTTCTAATTAATTGGGCACTTTAGCATACAAATTCCAAAACGTTACATTATTGCTCCAATAGTTATAATATGCTAGGAGCCTCGGAATGCTCCAACCATTCGTAAAATGTGTATCAATTTCATTTCGTTATGGATTAATCAAAAGACCCAGTCAACCCAAGAACCCAAAAGGTTATCGATGTGACCACTCAATGACCGCAACAAGGGCAAGAAGCCAAGAACACAATCTAGCAAAGTAGCACTAAGCAAACACAAAGATTGAGCATACAACTTGTTACAAAAAATTGTTGTATTCAAAACAATGTTAATTCAATTTATTTTTTTATCTTTTCCTTTAAATATGTAAAGAGAAACGTTCTATCGAATTGAAACCTCGCTCAAACAAGCTTAGTTTTTAATTTTTATTTAGCAAAGACCATACTACATTTGTACTCCTGAATCTTACACAAACAAGCTTGAGCCTTTTCAAGAACGACATCAACCCTATCTCTATGACTTGTTACCTTTTTATTATTATATTCAATTTTACTATAATCATTTTCCCATCTTCCATTTTCCACCTTCCTCCTTTTCAAACTGACCCTTTTCCTCTTCATACTTGTTGATGCTGCAAAACCCACAAAATAAAATAACGAATTAGAATTTATTGACATTCCATGAGTAAGAAAAAACATTAGAAGTACAAAAGTAATTTAGTTGTGACGTTATAAATTCAAATTGCAACATGGACGTGACAATTAATTTCAAACAGAAGGAGTGTTCGAGAACGAAACAAAAACCCCAAAAAAAAGAACGAACCTTGAGTGGTGGCAGATGAAGTAGTAGGCAAAGGTTCAGGAAGAATTTGAGATTCTAGAAGAGTGATAAATGATTTAAGCTCGTTTTTAAGGTAATCAAAACGATTAGGATGATCAGTTTCAAGCATTTGTAATTCTTCCTTTGCTTTTTCAATCATTCTGTCCATTTTCTCTGCTAATGGCGGCAGATTGATGCCCAAGAAAAGGGCAATTAATTTATGGAAAATCAGAAATGGTGTAGAATTCTTCTTTTGGTTTCTCAAAGATTTTAAGAGAAAATTATTATTGGAAATAATAAACTGGAGGTTTTGGAAAGTGGAGAATTAAAAAGGCAATTGGCAAAAGGAGAGTATAGGGTAATAAAGTGGAGGGAACAGAAAGGTCAGGGTTTGGGTCATTCTATGCTGTCTTGGGCTTAGTGCTGGGACAGGATACATAGATTACATATACTATTAATATCATCCCAAAATCCCTATAAATCTGAATTTTGCTTGCTAGAAGACACAATTAATTATGGAATGTCTAGTCCGATACCACTAAAAGTCCAATTACTGTCTATTCGGGTTCACGGTTTGATTTTGGTTCAGATTGATACGGGTTTATTTGGCTGGCGGGTTAGATTGAGTCGATCTTGATAAGTAGTGATTCAGTTTGGTTTTAGTTTATTATTGTAGGGTTACAATTTGAATCAGGTAGTGATTGATTTGGGTTATGATCACGTTGGTTTGATATGGATCTGTTTAGGAGAGAGTTTGCCCTGGATGCGAGTTCAGGTTAATATCAATTTGTATTATAATCGAATTGGTGCTTAAATGGGACATATAAATCACGTATAGGCCAAATTGGTCGGGATAAGTTGACATGGGCTCATAAGATCTGCAGTGGACTTTGGTTAGGGAAAAGTATTAATCGAACAGTTCAATTTGGTTAACTTTAGTCAGGTTGTAAATGATTTGTAATTTTGACATTTTTTTTTTATTAATATTCCCTCCGTCCCCAAATAATTTTCTCAGTTTCCATTTTGGGCGCCCTAATCTTTTCATTTTATATTTTTACCATTTATGGATAATTGTATTCTCCAATTCTATTGGTTGTCAATAAAAACACATGGTTTACTCTCTTTTATACTTTAATCTTATTGGTCCTTGGAAAAAATAAGATATTTTTTTCTCTACTTTATTGTCGATTTATCTTTCTCATGTATCATCTATCTAAATTATTGTCAAATTAGCTTTCCTATGTACTTGTACGAGTACCACTTTTTCCTTCCCTTTCTTAATTTTTGTGTTTTTCACAAATGGGAAAATCATTTGGGAATGGAGGGAGTATAAGCTAGAAAGAACTACCTCCATATCTATTTAATGTATTCTTTTTTACTTTCATGTTTTTTAATGTAAACTTTTGTTCACAAAAATCTTTAATTATCAATATATTAAATCATTAAAAAAATCGACATTTAGATTCTAAACATTGCAATGTCTAAACAAGGTTTTCATGACTGTTTTTTCTTATATGCTTCCTCCATTCTTTATCAATTGACATGTATTCTTTTTTAGGAAATTTCTTTTTACTCAACCTGTTTTCTTAATTGAAAACTTTAACACTACACTTTTACTTATTTACCCTCACTTTTTCAACATCATTAAACCACCATATTCTTATTACCTTCCATCCTCTCTCACCTCAGTCACTCACCAAAACCCATAATTTTTTAAACCACCTTTCCTCCTCCAGGTTATCCATGGAAACCACCGTCACCACCACCCTTATTATTGAAACACCGCCAAACATCAATCACCACCCTCTCTCGTCACCTCCACCTTCGCGGCGTCAGCGGCGACTCTCCTCCATGCACAAGTCACCCTCTTTCGTCACCTCCACCTTCGCGGCATCATTGGCGACTCTCCTCCCTGCACAAAGTCACCCTCTCTCGTCACCTCCACCTTTGTGGCGTCACCGACGACTCTCTTCCCCGCACAAATCACCCTCTTTCATCTTCACCGCATAAGCCTCGACTCTCTAGAAGTGTTAAGTTTATCAAAATCGAAGCCATGGTGGTCGAATTTGGGCTGTTATTCCAGATCTGAAACCACCATAATCAAATTCAACCTACAAGCTCTCAATTCTTAAAAATTTGTTCAAGTATGTGACGGTGGTTGGTGGTGTGGGTATTTTTTACTTTTCTCTTGTTAATTTGCTCAAGTATACAGATCTGGTGGTATGGATTGTGGTGGTTGTTAATTTGTTGAAGGGTGGGTCTTGTCTACTTTAATTTGGCACTTGACAGTGACGTGCCGGTGGCTATTTTTTGGAGGTCTAGATGGTGGTTGTGGTAGCAAATTCGGCGACGTTGGTGGTTGTGGTGGTAATTTCGGTAATGGGAACAGGGTAAGGGTTAGTTGGCAGTTGTAGTGGGCAAGGGTACATTCGTTAAAGTGAAATATGTTAAAGCCACGAAATTAGAGAGAATGGGAAAACACTAGAGAAGGGAGGCTTCACTCCAAAACCCCTCAAGGGTTAGGAGTCGTTCGTCACTGTTCGTGATACATTGTAGCGGAGGAACTCGGAGCAACCAGAGAGGAACTCAAATCTGAATTTGAGGAACTTGATAGGTTCTTGTTTCGTTTTCTTTTATGAGTCCTTAGTTTGTTATGCCCAGTAACTAATAGATTGAAGCCATGTGTTAAGTATTTGAGACGAGTATTGTTGGTTTTAATGATTAATGCTTTAGAGTATTCTTGAATTATTGATTTGTTCATATAAATGATGATTTCTTATATGTAGGTGCGCAACTATTTGTTTGGGTCTGATTTTTATTGCTAATTAATACTACTAAGCCCGTAATTTTTTGGGAATGTTAATGAAGTAGCAACCATTTGTAGAGGACGTTCCACTCTATTAATTGTAAAGTAATTCTTGATCTAGGTGAAACCGTGTTCCAATAATGTCATAATTGTCTAGGCTTGATGCTTTCCTAGTTCCTAATGTTGTCATCAGGTAGGGGTTATCTGTTGGTTAGGGTTAGTGAAAGTCGTACGGGATCTAACCATTAATAAGGGGAAACAGAGGAACTTGTTCTATAAGTCAAGCTATTCTAAAGGGTTAAGTATTATGTTCGGGATTATACATTTGCATGGTGGATTTCTATATATAGTTGCTAAGTATCTCAAGTTCCTTTTCTGTTCTTGTTCCTGTAAGTTTAAGTTCCTAGTTAGATTTAGTTGTTAGTTGTTCCTTATTCCTTATTCTTAAACTCCCCCCAATCGTTTCTTTTACTGTTTTGAGTCTTGGTTAAGTGTCTTGAATCTTATTCTTAGTTATTTGCAAGCACATTCTTCGTGGGATCGACCCCTACTTCCGCTAATTAAAAGTTAGTAGTCTTAGGGTAATTATTATTAATTTGTGTGCGTTTCGACACCGCATCACCTAGCCAGCCCCACCATCGGCGCCACCAGCCCCAACCGCCGATACCCTAACCCAGGCCGTCGGCACCCCCTATCCCCACCAAATAAAATCGGCAAAACCAGCCCAACCACCCATTCTTGCCTTCCCCCTCCCAAAAAACCACCCCTTCCTCCCTTCTCCCTCCTCAAAAATCACTTCCCCCTCCCCGAAAACCACCACCTGCTTCGCCTCGCCTAGCCTCTCAACATCAACAACACCAAAGCAGGCCCGCAACCACCTCACCTCCAAAGAACCTCATGCACCGCACCAACCCACGCAAACCCCTCAAAATCACCAACCACGACATCCCAACACCGTAGCAACACCGATTCTCCCTCACCTGCCATACTTAGCAACCCATGAATCATCAATTGCAGCCTCGATTAAGGGGGGAAGGGGTGATATTGAGGAGGGGGAAGGGGTGGTTGGGCTAATTTCGCCGGTTTTCGTGAGGGCAGGGGGTGCTGCACGGCTTGGGTTAGGCTATCAACGGCTAGGGCAATTGTTGCTGGGTGGGGTAGAGGTTAAGGTTTTATTCTTTCTTTTTTCTTTTTTATTTTTTCTTTTTATTAATTTATTTTTTAAACCAATAAGCATTTGACACGTGTCTATTATTGCCCATACTAATGGATTCCATCCAAAAATCTGTTAAGAGGTGGTAAAATCAAACTTTTGGGTTATTTTGTGGTGTTATATTTTTTTTTTTTTTTTTGTGGTAGTATAATCTAATTTTGGGTTTTTTTGTGGTGTTATTTTGCAAAGTATCCCAAAATAAATAAAGAGAGTATATATCTCAATATACTACCTCAATTTCATATTATTTGTAACTTTGTAATATTACAAATAAGTACAAACAACTTCAAGCCACATATGAATATCGTGTCACACATGATAAGCTCAATTTTTTTTAAAAAGATAAATTATATCTAACAAATAAAAATTAATAAAAATATACGCATAAAAAATAGTTAATATTTAGAATCATAGAAAAAGTTCAATGTATTTACTCATTTTTTAGAAAAAAAAAAACAAATAAATAAATTAAATTTAAATGCACTATGATTTGGAATTTATTAGAGCATGCATATTATATTGTTGAGAAAATCTAAAAATGATAAGTTTTGTATAAGGCGAAATTTTTTTATTTTATTGAAAGACGATCAATCTGAGAGCAATTTTAATGGTAACTTTACCTATTTAAGGGGCAACTTTTGATTTATAATGTGTTCGATTGTATTTCAATGTGTATTATCTAATGGAGGTTAATATGATTAATCTAATAAATAATGAGTACGTGTTTTTTAAGGATAAAATTTGTATTAAAAAAATGGTAACTTTTATAATATGCTGCAAATGTAACTATAAATACTTTTAGGTTAGTTTTAACTTATCTTACAATAAGTTAACAAATAGTCGGCTTTATTAATAAGTCTTGTGTAAGACGAGTGTACTTTAATTTTAATGTAAGACGGTCAGTTTGAGGGTAACTTTAATTAACTGTTTTTATGGTAACTTTAACCAATTAAAGGGTAATTTTTAATTTGTTGTCGTTGGTTTGAATTTTATTTTAATGTGTAATATCTTTTAGATTCATGATTACATATTATAAAGGTTAATATGATTAATCTAATACATTACAAGTTTTTTGTAAGATAAAGTTTATTATTAGAAAAATAATAACTTTTTTTTTTTTTTTTGAAATTAAATAATATTTTTTGTATTATAAAGGATAACTTGAACTCAACTTACAATAAATTAACGCACAAGACAAACTTTTGATTATTCTTGAACAACATAACTGTATTGAAGTTTGTGTGATCTTAAAATTCTTTCTCCCTTTAAATTCTCAAGAATAATACAAACTTTACATGACCTTCTTTAAACAAGACAAACTTTCGATTATTATTGAACAAGATAAACTTTGATATGTTTTTTCTATAAACAAGACACAACTTGTACATGACCTGCTAGGGG